AAAATTTAGGCTGACTTGGTTTAAAAATATTAGCATCCAATTGAGGTCTCAGTTTGTGAGGCTTACGCATCTTACACGTCTGGCAAAAGAGTTTTCAGTTCTGCAACATGTTTACAAATCCAAAAACAGTTTTACGAACTACGTCAATAAATCCTGAATAATCCTCCTCTCACCCGCCCTCACCCCCCCCCCCCCAAAAACGTTTGATTTACAAACCCTGACTCTGCTCTTACGATACAGGGACAAGGGAGGATTTCTAAAGCCAGCCTTTGAAGCACGAGCAGTATGATTCTCAATCTGCCTTTAGCAATATCTTTATGTGTGAGCACGCGAGAAGTTAAAATGAGATCAGAACAGAAATCTGGGAGGAACTTTGCCAGTATCTGTAGGAAGGGCTATCCGTTTGCCCATACTCTTTTATTTTAATATCAGATATGTCATGAAAACACACTTTACCAGTGTGAAAGGATTTGATCAAAAGACAGTTGAAGTCAATTGGAGTTTTTCCATTGACTTAAATCATCTATGGGTTAAGTTCTAAATGACTACACAAAGGGGCATAGTGTCCAAGCTGAGGATGAGCCCAAGGAATAAGGCTTGGGACTGTCGTTAAAATAGACCAATGAGCACCTTTGCCAGTGCTCACTGCCACCAGGAAGCCCAGGGGCCTGGCCAAGGTGCAAAAGCTTGCCAACGACACGTCTCTGGAGCTATGAAACTATACTATAAAGCATTAGTCAAGCTTCCATCAGGAACACCCAGAGAAGTACTGAATCAGAGTCCCAGGTCTGAACAGTGGTTTTCTAACCCTTTCTGTTTAGCCCATTGCGGGAAACCAGGTATATTTAGATTTTAAGTGCTTCAGAGTGGAGGCTATCTTTTTTCTGTGTGTTTGTCCAATGCCTAGAATAGTGGAACCCTGATTGGGGTCCCTAGCTGATATTATAATCCACTGGGGAGTATGTGTTACAGATCCCCATCTGTACCAATCCACAGAAGATAATTTACTGCTGGGAAAATATTGCACAAATATTTCTGTGAGTATATGTTCACATTTTCATACAATTTCACTTTGGTTTAGTTAATGTCCCTTTTGTTTTCATTCTTCATGTATTTTTTTTTTTTTTATGAAGACACTTCAAGTTCATGGAAAGTGAATTTTAAACTGACACACTGGAATCTTTGTTGAAAGCAAATTTGAATTTCCCTTTCCAGGAGTATTTGTACAATAAACCTAGTTATAGGTTTTACCGTCAGCCCATGGAACAGAGAAATTACCCAATGAATTATCTTGATCACTTACAACTTAAGCAATGCAGCTTGAATTTTGGATTTCCTTATGCTAATGAGTAGATGAAATATATGAAAAATGTTGCAAATGATGAGTAAAAAAAGAAGATTGTGATATAGTAAAAAGAACGAGGAGTATTTGTGTCATCTTAGAGACTAACAAGTTTATTTGAGCATAAGCTTTCGTAGGCTAAAACCCACTTCATCGGATGCATGCAGTGGAAAATACATACAAAATATAGTAGTACATACCAAACAGGGAAAGATGCAGCCTACTATTTGTTATGAAAGTTTTTTTCAAGTCTACACAATATGTTCCCTTGTACCAGGGCTTAGAAACCATCATTACACTCCTCTGTGCCTCTGTAACTTCAGGGAGGTGTCAGGACCTTGCTCTCCTGAATCTCAGCTTTCATGTAAGTCTCTAGCTGTTAGGATTGTAAAGGGAAAAAACCCTAAAAAATGTGAACCAAGTCTGCACAGAGCCTGGAACGATATAGCACTAGGTGGAGTGAACCTTTCGTCTCAGTGATATGTATGCCCAGTGATGATCTAAATGTCAACACCATTAGCTATTTCAGTCCTCATGCAAGAAAGGGAGAATTTACTGATCTGCACAGTTTCCTGTGAATGGCTCTCATTTTGGTGATGGAAGTGGATGTAATTTGGGAGATACCATCATCAAGAGCTCATGGGTATATTCAACCACACTCAGGGTGAGCTGAAACTCAGCGCCCCGTGGAGCTCAAAAAACACCCATCGTCATCCTTGGAACATAAGTATAGTCTACAGAGAACTGTGTGTCATTTTGGTGACCCCACACGCCCTTTTGTTTTCTTCCCAATCTGACCCTTGCCTTGCACTTCTTTGTTGTGAAGTTTTATCTGCCATCATGTAGCCTTTGGCAAACTAGTTCGGGTAGGCCCATCTGGAATTCCTCACAAGACGTCCTGTATTCACAAAATTAAGTTATTAGCAAATGTCACCATTATTCAGCCTCTCTCTCAGAAAACAGATAGAAATTGTCACTGATCACCATAAATCCTAGTAGTGATTCCCTAAACACCTCTTTTTTTTCTTAATCCTGCCTCAGAGGGGTGTCACTCTGCCCCAGTGGGTTACAGCTGAGGATACCAGATTCAGGACAAACTGCTGAGAAATAGGGTAGGCTCACCCCAAACTGGTGGTTATTCTATTATTAGATATACCAAGTGAGAAACAAAAGTAAACTTCTGTTGCACCACACTGGTTAACCAGAAATCCAGACTGCAGTCTCCTTAGGCATCCCAGCCCTTGTTTCACCACCCAGACACTAGACTTTATGATGAGTGGTTATTTAAAACCAGTTTCATCAAACAAAGGGTCCCTCTAATCCCAAGAGATCTGCCACATAGCAAGGTCAATATATCGCTCAGATGTTACCCACTAATCACGCTGTTGCCAGTCGTTTAGTAACGAATATATAAAGGTTTATTTATAAGAGAAAAGAAGGAGGAGAGAGTTACAATGGTCAAAGAAAACATATACATATACATACAATCATTACAAAGTTCTTGGATCAGATTTGTGGCAGTGATGGAATAAACCGCTGGCTTGTAAAGTCTATTGTTACTTCTGGAAAACTACAGGGTCCTCAGTCCATTGGTTGGAATGTTCCCTTTAGTGTAAGACCATAGTCCAGAGATCAGAGCAGGAAAGAGGCAAAATTGAGATGCTTCCAGGGTCTTTTATATCTTCAGCCATGTGGAGGGGATGCTCTCAGTCTTAGGCCTGGTCTATACGTGAAAAACGTAGCTGAAGTCAACATACTTAGATCTATTTACTGTGGTGTCTTCAGTGTGATAGGTCGACTGCTGACGCACCCCCGTTGACTCCGCCTATGCTTCTTGCTCCGGTGGAGTACTGGAGTCGACGGGAGAGCGTTCGGCGGTCGATTTATCATGTCTTAACTAGGCACGATACATTGACCCCTGCTGGATCGATCGCTCCGGAGGTAAGTGTAGACATGCCCATAGTTTGTGAAAAATTACAGGCAGAAGATGGAGTCCAGGGTCACATGAACTAACCACATGCCCTTGCATGATTTGATGACTCATAGGAGCAGCCCTTACCCATACTTTGGCTAAGGCATCCACAAGAAGGCTAACTGGGTGGGGACAAGCTTCTTCTAAGACCTATTGTGAGAGCTAAGTGTTCTTTGATGGGCCATCAACTTGAGTGGTCCAATCCCAATGTGCTGGCCAGACTGGATGTAAATGATCATGAGGTTGTTACCCAGGGACAAACACATTTGAAATACAGGTATATAGTCAATATTCATAACTACAGATACAAAAATGATGCTTGCATATAAATAGGATAATCATATTTGATCAATTGTAACTTTTCCATTGGTACCTTACATGACATACTTTGAATAAGATTTGTTGTAATTGTATAACAGTGGCCATATTAAAGATATAAATGGTCGTGTTTCAATCATACAGTGTCACAGGTGGGCAAGAGAGGGAAGGAGTAGCGTAGATGACATCTTGAGGTCCCTTTCACCCCTGCATTTCTATAATTCTTTCCAACTGAGAACTGGCAGCCTAGGGTGACATCCTGCTCCCATTAAGGTCAATAGCATTTACCCCTGCTCTTTATTCCCTATCTTTTTACCCAGTCTTTAATCCATGATAGGGTTTGCTTCTCTTCTCCCACCCACTCATATATGTTCCAACCAATAGGACTATTCAAGGAGCGAGGTACTACTCAGCATGCTCAAGGGCATTAGAATACGACCCTCTGTGGCTACTCTTTTTTCTTATTGTGAAGGAATTTATCAAAATCCTTTTAAGGGTCTAAATAAATTATATTTCACAGTTCTGTTATTCACCATTTTATGAACTCTTAAATAATTCCTTCCGGGGAAAGAGGCATGATTTTACCCTTTCAAAAGGTTAGATTTTTTTTTTCCAATCGTCTTATACAGTAATTTTGTAAGATTAAATAAATCACGTTTTTATTAATAAATGAATACATGGCAGCATGGCAAAACATCAGGGTAACTGATCTAATGTGCAACTGTATGGTCTCAATCTTTGCAAACTACTGGACCCCTTTCAGGAGTCTGATTTGCCTTGCATACCCTCAAGTTGTACACCTCACTTAAAAACTACTTGCTTACAATATCAGACATAAAATACAAAAGGGTCAGTGCACTATTACTGAAAAATTGCTGACTTTTTCATTTTTACCATATCATTATAATATAAATAGATTGAAATATAAATACTGTACTTACATTTCAGTGTATAGTGTACAGGGGTCGGCAACCTTTCAGAAGTGGTGTGCCGAGTCTTCATTTATTAACTCTAATTTAAGGTTTCGCGTGCCAGTAATACATTTTAATGATTTTAGAAGGTCTCTTTCTATAAGTTTATAATATAGAACTAACCTATTGTTGTATGTAACGTAAATAAGGTTTTTTAAATGTTTAAGAAGCTTCATTTAAAATTAAATTAAAATGCAGAGCCCCCTGGACCAGTGGCCAGGCCCTGGGCAGTGTGAGTGCCACTGAAAATCAGCTCGCGTGCCGCCTTCCGCACGTGTGCCATAGGTTGCCTACCCCTGGTATAGTATATAGAGCAGTATAAACAAATCATTGTCTGTATGACATTTTAATTTGTACTGACTTGGCTAGTGCTTTTTATGAAGCCATTGTAAGACTAGGCAAATATCTAGATGAGTTGATGTACCCCTGGAAGAACTCCGTGTGTTTCCCCACGGATACATGTACCCCAGGTTTAGAACCACTGAAGTCAATGTGAAGATTCCTATTGATGTAAATGGGCTTTGGGTTTGACATTGTCATGGCATGCACTGCCATCTGTATTGGTCGTCGTGTTTAGAAACTAGGTCAGATAAGAATTTGAAATTGGTATGAATGGTCAGTTATCTGATAAGTGTAAGCATACATTCGTAATACAAAAATACATGTTTCAAGGTTGATGTTTATCATATTATATAATGCAACTTTGCAGAATGCTTTGTTAAGAGACTTCTAGTCAGAGTTATCATTAAAAAAAACACTTTTGCTTACTTCCTAATACACAAACCAGCAGGGGATTAAACAGCACTAGCATAATGAAATTAAAGAGAATTCCTTTCAGGGCATTGTCTTAAAAACGAATTCTGCTTTTGTCTTATTGGCATTATACTATAGCAAATCCAAGACCAATAGTTTTTCCAAACAGCATTAGATGGCACTCTTGTACGTGTTGTACGAGTCGCACGGAATGTATCAACATTTGGAAAATGGCATGTAGGAGTAAAAGCTGTTTCTGTGGCTGTTCTTGGCATCTTCATTTAAATAGGTTTAGATCCTATAAGTTCTGTCATCTGTCACAATAAGAAAGCTCCGATCTGCATAGCACAAAAGGAAATATTAGAAAAGAATAAGAAATGATCCACTGAAAAAAAATATAATTTAAAATAATAAGGGGACTGTATGGTGCGTTAATTCAACCAGGTGACAGCAGCTACCTCACACAACCTTGGCATAAAGTTTTCTTTGAGTTTGACAGTATTATTCCATGTAGTTGAGACCCGGTGGGCTGAATCCGGCCCTGCATTACACCTATGAAGCCCCCTGTTGACCTTGGTGGGATCACATGGGTGTGACAGAAATTGGCCCATGATCCTCGTGACATCACTCATTTCCTCACCAACGTTTTGTTCTGTCGAAATAGAAGACTGTGGCCCAGATACTGTTGCTGAGGAGCACTTGGCGTGCAAATGAAGAACCAGGATGCAAAGGTGATTTTTAGTCCCCTAATCCCCCAGCTGTCTCACCAATGGGCTGCTCTAACTTGTGCCAGATGCTTTTGGTCCCCAAGTGGCTGTTCCAGGGTCTGGGCATCACATAAGGTTTTCCAGGCCACAGCCCCTTTCCCGTGACCACACCCCCTGCAATAGTGCTCATGAAAGGTGATGGATTGACAGCCCTGGATGCTGGAGTCCCATGTATCCGTCCAATAAATACAGACCTGGAAGCGGCTGTGCTTCTCCACCCTGTTTCTTCATCAGTGTGCCTCAACGCTGAGGTGAAAGGCTGAGAAGATCATTCATTCATTCTCCATGCCCCATGGGCTCTTGACCTCTGTCTGCTACTGTTTCCAACAGAGATCCCAGTTGATGTGATGGTTCTGTGATATGGACACTTTATCACAGGAGCTGGGGCCAGACTGACAAAGGTATTTAGGCACTTAAAGATACACATCAGTGCCTAGTGGGACTTATAAAAGTGCCAAAGAGAGTTAGGTGCCTAACTCACTTGACTTAAGCACTTCTGCAAGTCCTACTACATGCCAATCTGCATCTTCAGATGCCTAAATACCTTTGTAATTCTAGCCCCTGGCCTAGGATAACAAATTCATGTCAGGGGCCATTACATTACTCCCAGCTTGGTCCTATTTGAATCAGTAACTGTCAGAAATGAAAGGCTTTTAGATACCGTCATCGGACCCTGTACATAGCTATGACCATAGGTGCCGACTACGTGGGTGCTCCAGGGCTGGAGCACCCACGGGGAAAAATGCTGAGCACCCACCGGCAGCCCCCCTGTCAGCTCCCCCCTGCCTGACCCCCAATGTTTGCCACCCGCCGGCATGCCTCCATGATCAGCGCCTCACCATCCCTCCCCGCATGTCCCGCCTGCCACAATCAGCTGTTTTGCGGTGTGCAGGAGGCTTTGGGACAGAGGGGGAGGAGCAAGGGGGCAGCGTGCTGGGGGGAGGGGCGAAACAGTGTGGGAAGAGGCAGGGTGGGGGTGGAGTAGGGGAAGGAAGAGGCAGACTGGGGCGGGGCCTTGGAGGAAGGGGTGGAGTGGGGGATGGGCCTGGGACAGAGCCAGGGATTGAGCACCCCCCAGCACAGTGGAATGTCAGCCCCTGTGGCTATGATTTCAGCGGTAGCATCTTAAAGGTAGACTGGAACTTTGTTTTACCTCCCAGTAGTTTTGCACAGTGTGCAGCACCTCTCTGAGCTTTGATGTTTCATCAGATTCCACTCGAGTGAAGAAAGCGACTAGCTTTCAGAGTAAAGTGCCAATAGATACTGCATTTAAAACATACTGGTCCAAATCCGTCCATGGTGTAACTCCATGCACCACACTGTCACTACTGTCACACTGTAGACAAAGGATCAAATTCAGGTTCGGTGTAAATGAATGGACCACTTCCACTTCAGAGAACCCCTCATGGAGAAACAACTCTCATAAGGAAAATAAGCAGGATTTGATGCCAGGTCTGAATTATGCTACTATGGATCCAAGCTTCTGAGGCTTGTGATGCTTTCTTGGCAGAATGCAGAGTTCAGATTCTCACAAGACCTGATTTGATATAAGATTTCGATTGTTTCTTGGACTCAGTGGAGACAGAAATATTATATTGCCTTTATTACAGTAATGTAAGGTCTCTTAGCACTTAACTTGATCTCCAACTTTTACAGACTTCCCAAATAGTTTGGATTCAGGCTTGAACAGAGCTGAGTTCTGCCGTTATTATGACACAAACAATTTGCCTAGCTGTAGAGAATCTGCAGTATGTTGCTGTATTAGGATTTGTTATTAATGGAGATTATTTTCCCCTCATGCACAGAGTGTTCAAATTCTGTAGGACAAAACAGGCTTGTAGGTTCGGTCATGGAACCCTACTGACTTCAAAGGGTAACAGAAGTTGGCCCATATACCCACAAATGGTCATAGAGCCTGATTCACCATTACCTAGAACCTTGCACAATACTCATGGGTCTGTTGGTGGCCGGGATCAAACCTGGAACTTCTGGAGCTTAATGCATGAACCTCATGAGCTAAAAGATGCATCTCCCTTACCCAGGACTGTAGCAAGATCATCAATCTCTTGCTGGTCTAGCTGCCAGTAGAGGGGGACAGGGTGCCACACCGAGCAGGCGTGAGTTACCCTTGTATAGTCAAAGTGTGTGTAAAATGATACCATTCCTCTTTGGTAATGCTCCTGGCCCACTTTACCATGGTGAAAATGATTCTATAAGGTGCAAAGCAATAGTGATTTGGGCTGAGAAAGGGAAAGATTGAAGAAGACATCTTTTCTCTATATACCTCAGTTTGCCCTGCTGTAAAATGGGGATAATTGTACTGATCTTTATAAACCACTGTAAGCTCTATGGATGAAACGCACTATGTAAGAGTTTAGTATTAGTGGTTTTTATGTGAAAAAAGTTATTTCGGCCTAAATTTTCAAACCTCGCTGTGATTTTGGATGCCGTAATATTTTGGGTCTCCAACTTCAGACACCATTACGGAGCTTGCTTTCAGACAGTGCTGAGCACCCGTCCTCTGAAAATCCATCTCCTCTAAGTGAGAGGTGCTGGAACTAGGAGTGCTGCCGCCCCCCCCGGCTTGAAGCCGTTTCCATCATATACAGGGGGGTTACAGTTTCGTTCAATGGCTCTAAGCCCCACACTCCACTATACAAATTGTTCCAGCACCCCTGTCTAATGTGTCGTAGATTTAATACCCAAAATGGCTAGTCGCTTTTAAAAATGTAGACTCTCTTGTTCACAAGCACTTCTGTCATTTCCCCTCTAGAAATGTATAATATACTTTAAGATGGGCGAGGTAATATCTTTTATTGCACCAACGTCTGATGGTGAGAGAGACAAGCTTTTGAGCTTACACAGAGCGCTTCTCTCCCTCACAGAAGTTTGTCCAATAAAAGATATTACCTCACCCACCTTGTCTCTTCAATATCCTGGGACCGACAACCACGCTGGATATAATATATTTTAAGTCAGCTTGGCTCCAGAGCTGTCGTGTGCTCTGGGCTGTAGTACTGCAGATCTGAAAGCACTGAATCCATTTTCACTAAGCAGCCTTTTATTGGCAAGTTGCTATGACCTTTCCAAAACAAAAATCTTAACTTAATCCCTTCTCAGCAGTTAGAGGGGGAAACTAATGGTGTCCCAGAATCCCCAAGGCTCCCCATATCTAGTTATGGTAGGTATTTTTCCCCTTACTGGGCAATAACGTACATGTTTTTGCCAAGTTTCCGTGATCTGTGATGCTTGATTCAAATTGCAGCTTAGCAAATTTTTGTGACAGAATACAGCAACTTTCACATGATGCATTCATGTGCTACATACCCATAGTGAAAATATACATAAGCCTCTTTCAAGGAAAGTCAACTTTTAAAAGCACTGAACCGCCTGGCTTACACTAAAAATGGCATCTCATTTTAGCTGAGCAATTCCTACCGTGAAATTTAAAAAATGAGAGAAGCCAAGCAGGGAAAATCTTGGGCAGTGATACAGCAATTAGGTCAACATAAGCAGAGAGGCAGTAGAAAAGCTGATCCACAAATGCAAAAGCCTATGAAGGCCACAATGTACTTTGCAGTGATATTTGTGTTTTATCTGCTCATATGATATTTAACTCCAGAGAACGTTTCCTTCCTGTTGAAGAAATAATGAAGAGGAGCAAGTTAAAATAAATAAGGATATGTCTGATTCTCCCATCACTTACATGGTTTTTCAGTAGAGCAGTTCTAACGAACCCATGGAATTACCATAATACCATCTAGCTTTTCATGTATACATCTCAGCATGCTTTACTGAGGGAGGTCAGTAATCAGTATGCTCAGTTTACACACAGTATTCAGTGTGAAAGTGACACACAGGTGGGGGAAGGAATTTACCGAACAAATCACTGTCAGCCAGGAATTGAATCCCAGTTTCCTACATGCCAGTGCTATTCCTATGCACTAGCCCACACTTTTGATTTACACTGGTGTGAAAGAGAAGAATCAGGCCTGCTAAGCTATAAATCAGTTTCACACATACAGAATGGGAAGAGACTGTCTAGGAAGGAGTATGGCAGAAAGTGATCTAGGGGTTATAGTGGACCACAAGCTAAATATGAGTCAACAGTGTGATGCTGTTGCAAAAAAAGCAAACGTGATTCTCGGATGTATTAACAGGTGTGTTGTGAGCAAGACAGGAGAAGTCATTCTTCCGCTCTACTCTGCTCTGGTTAGGCCTCAGCTGGAGTATTGTGTCCAGTTCTGGGCACCGCATTTCAAGAAAGATGTGGAGAAATTGGAAAGGGTCCAGAGAAGAGCAACAAGAATGATTAAAGGTCTTGAAAAAAGAAGAACAGGAGTACTTGTGGCACCTTAGAGACTAACAAATTTATTAGAGCATAAGCTTTCGTGGACTACAGCCCACTTCTTCGGATGCATATAGAATGGAACATATATTGAGGAGATATATATACACACATACAGAGAGCATAAACAATTAATTGGCCTCTCAGAGTTGGTAAGACAACTCCCACCTGTTTATGCTCTCTGTATGTGTGTATATATATCTCCTCAATATATGTTCCATTC